ATCTGATCTTGAGTATTGAGTGAAGACAACTGTTAATGAAGGTCTGAAGTTTGTTTGAGGTGCTCTTCATGACGCGCTGGCCAAGTCTCTGATCCATCCGTATAGTGAGTAGCACTGACTTCTTCACATTGGAGTTGAAAATCTGGATCTTATCTCCATTTTCATGTTGAGTAGTACTGTTGACCTCCTTCACACAGACTTGAGAGTGATGAAGGTTTGCCTTGCGTTCCCGATGATCCTTGCTTTGATATCTTCATCAATCCCGTCCACCCGTAGTTGAAACGATGCTTTACAGGTAGGTAGGTAGGTTGGTTGGTAGGTAGGCGGAAGAGGTTGTTTCTTTCAGGCTACTCCCATTTATTCTGGCTGATTGTTGTCTGTTGTTGTTGGTGTTGGCGTTGGCCAGGAATCATCACCACATCTGTTTTCTCTATGTTCACCTGAAGGAAGTCCTATCTTCTCTGGATGCTTCTTCTGTCGTCAACTTGTTGCTTTTCACTTGCATATGTCACTTTAACACATAAAAGACTCTCTGATAGTTATCATCTCAAAAAAACCCCAAAACAATAATTTGAATGAAAGAGGAAACAACACTACTTAAACATTAATTATCACAGTTGTCAGCAGTTTCATTATGTGTTATACCATGACAGCTCTGAAGATTACACTTTTATAGCTGTTTCAGGATTAATTTAATTGAATTCGAGATTTTCCCGTCGATTGATTGGACCGAAGTGCTCGGTCTCAGGCTAACACATCTGTCGGTTCTTGTGCAGATGCTTCGACGACGTCTGGGCATTTAGTTAGTATTTAATTGGTGATGGTGACTAACAGACATCGTCGAAGCATCCGCACAAGAAGCCAACAGACATGTCAACCTGAGACCGAGAACTTCGGTCCAATCAATCGACGTGAAAATCTAAAATTCAATTAAATATTTAATTAATATGACCCGTTGAACAAGAAGTGGCCAGCTTTCGTTGCTCAAGTGGTCTAGTGGCGTTTGAAACTATGGGCACTGGGTTCGAGCCTCCGTGGTGGGAATATCACCACTCACTGAGAAATACAGGTATATCCAGCTGACCACGAGTCCCAAATAGGATGAAATGCGCGTTATCCTGGATTCCAATGCTAGTCACCATCCACCATTTAAATGTTTCAGGATTACTTTTAAGTAATTTTTTAGTGATACTGAAGACGATAAACTACTCACAGTCTGGCTACACTCGTCGAAAATCTAGTCTCCATCAGTAAGGCCTTTCAGTTGAGCGCTGTCAGTAAGTCATACGGGTCATCACTCGCTAGCCAGAAATAAATCATGGTCGACCATTTTTTTAAAAAAAACACAATTTAGGGGAACCAAAGAAGCCTGAACAGCTTCTCAGTGGTAACACCTTTGATTGCAATACAGTGGATGACACGGAGGTTTGAATCTCAGGCGAGACATGCGCATTTCAGATTGGAGACAAGCCTTTCTGATAAGTGACAAACTACACAAACTAGGGATAAAGCAAGGCATCCTGTCGACTGCTTCCCAACCATCTAACAACATTAACCTGTAACTCTCGCATATGTATTGCAGCTGGATCGCTGGTTTAGTAGTGGAATGCCCGCTAACCACCCCGGTCGAAAAAAACTCTGAAACTTCGCGCCTAGCAGGTTGTAAGGAAGGGCGGTAAAAAAAAGAAAAGAAAAGTGAGTTGTGGGACAAGCAATCACATCTCGTAAAGAGAGAAAAACACTACTGCTACCGAAATTTCAAAGCTCCAAAGCTCGGAACTATGGGGAGGAAGGAAGGTGTTAGAGTCACAGCTGGGATTTAACCGGTATCAGCTCAACTTATTTACTGCTGAAGACTGGCTGACTGATTGACTGAGGGACTGGTTTCAACATAGAACTGTGCATAGATGTGCAGCAGTTTGAGTTGTCACACTCCATATAACACACAAAAGATGAAAAAGAGAAATAAAGAGATTCGGAAGAACGATGATCAACAGAAATGAGAGGGATAAGGCATAGTAACAGAGAAAGAAACATTAGGACTGAATGGATATGACAGATCACAAAAAGTGAATGGCTCTGCTCTACTAAGAACGGTTTTAAGATACATCACTATTTGTCTCCAGGCATCGGTTCTCACCACGTAAACCTGAGGACTTCAACAAGGTAGTCCATACCCCCCCCACCATAAGCGGCTGGCTGGCTGGCTTAAACTAACTGTCGAAGATTTCAAGGAGTGGCTTCACGTTTTTGTCTGACCACTACTAGCTTTCTCTTTTCCAACCTGATCCATCCTATGTCTGTCAGCTAACAAACAGGCAGTGTCTCATGAGTGCACAACACCTGGCCCAGCTATCATCTCAGTTGATGTAGCTTCATCACAACCCATTGATGATACATTCGTTACCCAATTGTCTAAGTTGAAAGATGTAGAAAATAATGAATCCGAATCTTGGCTGAAAACTAAGCCCCCAAAAAGCCAATAAACCGTATTCTTCACAAACGAGTAACCAAAAGAGTAAAAACCTTGTCTACAATAAACGTGATTAGGGAAACAATTTTACATCCCTAATCGATAACCACCATGAGGAACGCATTCCATTCTAGGAGACGGACCAAAAAGTGTGCTATATTACACATGTGTCGTTGGCACAGAGGTTAGGACTCTCACCACCATGCACCTGGTTCGGAGTTCAGTCCTGCATTAACTGAGGTACTAGGCAGCGTCTGGTAATCAAGGAAGTCCCGTCGGGTTGATGTAAGTCACTGATTATCCCCATATACAGAAAGGGAGACAAGTCTTCCTGGATAACAACAGAGGGATTAATTTGACTAATATATTAACTAAAGTCCTAGGCTGAATAATATTGCGTTGACTAAGTGGTGCTCGGGAGGCACAAACACGAGAGAGCCAGGCAGGCTTTAGACCACGAAGAGGGTGTATTGATCATATCTTCACCCTTCGACAGATTCTAGAACACAGGCATTCCTATCGTTGTTCAACAATCATTATATTTCTTGACCTAAGGGCGGCATTCGATTTTGCCGATCGAGAGGTACTATAGCGACGTTTGGCTGTAAAAGGAATGCCGAAAAAATACATCGCACTGATCGAGACACTACTCGAACTCATGCAGTCAGTCAGGTGAGGGCTAACGGCGAGTTGTCGTCTGAACTGGTGACGACTAGTGGTGTACGTCAGGGATGCCCATTATCCCTATTTCTATTCAATTCCATCATACATGTAGAACAACTGAATCTTGTCTTTCCAACTCATATCATTTATAGGTACAACGTTTTCTCTCTTTCTTTTCCTTTTCTCTCTCTCTCTCTCTTTTTCTCTGTTATGTGCTGCTTTGTTTCTTTCTCCTGCTTGCGCCAGTAAATATGCTACCATCTACTTTTCTAACACCTTCAAACACTCAGTTCAATTTTGGCTTTGCTACCGACATGCCAATATGTTGTTGTCATAATGAACTGAGATTTTCTTAATGTAGAATTTTATTTATTGATAATGTACTAACTGGATGCGATACTGTAGTGAAATGGTGAGAATTCCATTCTGTATCACAAGTACTGTTTTGAAATAAAGCAAATTATTATTATTACTAATAAACTTAACCCTAACTCACTTCAGAGACTCAGAAATTGACTTGCTACCACCAGGGAATAATAATCTCGTTGACTTAGAATATGCAGACGATATAGTCTCCGCTCCTAGGTGAGGACGCTGATTAAAATACAGCAGAGTCTTCTGAACACCTTGACCTGCATGCAATCTACGAATGTTTAGCATGCGATTCGCTCCTGCTGTCAAATGTAGGATGATGAGGCTACAGGACTGACTCGACTACACTGACTCCTAGTTTAGAAATAAGGGGTGGAGTGGTAGAGCACATTGGCCACTTCACTTATTTGGGAAGTACCATCAGCCAGTCCCAACGGGTTGATCTCTGACGAAATCTCAACTAGGTACGGATACATACAGAGGGCTTGTTTCGGATATGCCAGTTTACGCCGTCTCTGGCTTGGTAGACGTGAAATCCCGTTGACCATCGACCAAAGGGTGGGTGTACTGCTCATCAGTCCGCTCCGTACTCCTATATGGTTGGCTGTGAGCAAGACCTGGCCATTGACAGTGGAAGACATGAAAAGGGTGGCTGGCTGGCTAGCTGTCTTTGATCATAGGTGCTTGTGTTCTATCTCCCGTGTGAAGTGTTAGGTGTAATAGGTTGAGGAATATTGGGGTTAGGCGTGGGTCGAGTGATAGGTAGGTAGGTGGGAGGGGAAATCTACCAATCGACGAGGCTGTGAAGCAGTTACATCGACTGAGGTGGTTAGGACATGTGTTACGTATGCATGTCTAGTCATCCATCGCCTTCCTCGACAATGTGCAGTGTTGGCTGACTGACATAGGGTCAGGCTGGAAAAGAGCTAGCTAGGTAGCGGCGCTCAAACCAAAACATGGTTTCACCAGTCAATGAAATCCACAACAGTTAGTTTAAGCCAGACAGCCAGTCATGTAGGAAGATGTAGACTTCCTGACTGGCTGGTTGGGGTCCTCGGGACGGTAAACACCAATGAAGGGCTGGAAACAATTGGTGATATGGCTCAAAGTGATGGTTGTCAATGGCTGGCGCAGATGCATCCACTCCTTGTTACTTATGATTTCCAATGAAACTATATTGTTCTTCGTTACTATTACTATTCCTTTGTCTCACACCTCTGTTTATATTGTCTCTATTATGCATTTCTTCTACTTTCTTGTCTTGATTTGTATGCTACAAGGAGGAGGGAGTGTGTCGAATTGAACTGCTACACATCGGTGAAAACAGATAGACCGACAGACAGTTCGATCCCCTGCCGACGATGCACACTGGATATCAATGGTCGGTCTGCGAAATTTGGGCTACCAATATCACATGCTGAAAATTTCATACTTGTACCGAAAATAAGGTGAGGAATCAAGGCATAATCAAGTGTATATAATAAAAACTCACTTGAAATTGCAATAAAACACCAGGTAAATCCGGATGATGTAGGCGAAGAACAGCAGGATGTCGATTTTGATGTTGATGCGACTGCTGAAGATGATGAAGATGATTAACTTGTTTTGTTTGATAACTTTTCACAACATCTAAATCTTTATGTAGATCTGATCCATTGTTACTATTACTGTTAGTATTATTGTTATGATGATGATGATTGGTCAATTCATTCATCTTTTGACAAGACTTTTGACCAGTAGAATTTCGAGAATGTATCCAATTATGCGATGGGATATTTGATATGCGTTTATTATGATTATTATTTTTATTATCATTGTTCACTACTAATTTAATACCACCATTATCCATCATAGGCGGAGTAGTAGAATCAATAATCCGATTAGCAGTGCTCACATCAGTGTCATTAGTAGTAGTAGTAGTAGTAGTAGTACTGTTGGGACTGTTGTGAGTCGTCGTTGATGGCGTCATCGTCGTCGTCGTTGTAGTACTAGTAATAGTGGTAGCAGTAGGAGTACTATTCGACTCATCTGTTTTCAAGGCTATATCAGCTAATAAATCGAGTGAATTTCTATCTACCCCATCTCCTCTAACAACATCCAGCGTTTTTGTCGATTTCAACGACACATCCGCACCACCACTACTCTCTGATGATGATGTTGATGACAAAGAGGCAGAAGAACCAGCAGCGGAAGCAGAACAATGACAGCCTAAATTAATTTGATGATAATTAGCAATACGATGTAATCGATGAATTAACCTGCCGATAATACCAGAAGGCAGTAAAGATGTTAATAAAAGACGATTTGGATCATGATGTTGACGTGTTGTAGTACATGATGCCCAACCGTGTGGACCACCACCACGACCTAAATTTAAAAAAATACATAAACTTTCAATGTTATTCAATGTGTCATTTGTGTTAACATTTCACGTCACTGATTATTTATTTATTTATTTAAAAGCAGAAAAAACTTGGTACAATATGGCACCAAGAAAGATGCGCTACACACAACCATAATAATAATAAAACAACATAGATCAAAGGTTAAAAAAAGTATAAGTAGAGAACGCATAAAGAACTTCATTTGGAAGAAAAACAGTCATACTTAACAAGTTCAAACAGTATTCGTTAAATATCATCGGGAAGTGAAGAAAGAAGGAAATCGCAACACGTTTGCCATTGATGACTACGATTCTTGGCCATATCCGACAACGTTTCGAGCCATCGAGTCGAGCTATCTCTCGGACTCCAACCAAGGAGTCATGCTGCACCAATCGATGCTAATCTAGCACAAACATCCTTCATCCCAACGCCGCCGAACCTCAGATTTACTTACGCGATGATTCCATCGAACGCAAGCAATCCTACGGAGACAGCGATGATCGAACATGCAGTGTCGCCGGACATCCTTAGCCTACTCGGAGAGGCCAGGTTTGACAGGCTTGGCGTAGAGCAAGACAGCCCGAACCGAAGAATTGTATACCTGACCTTTGATAGCCAGGCTAACGTCGCGACGGCGTCAGAGGTGACTTTGATGTATTTCACTCTAGCCTTCATTATGCGTTTGAAAATCTCATCCGTTACCCCTCCGCCAGCACTCACACAACTACCCACTCAGATACACAAACTTATCAACAACTTCAAGCGGTTCACACGCAAGAGTGAGTGCAGGTACAGGCTCCTGCCAATCTTGTAACATCATCTTGTCAAACATCAACAATTCACAGTTGGTCGTTGACGGCCTGCTTAAAACTAGGGCTACCAAAAACTTCCATCCCCCTCTCTCTCTCTCTCTATTGCCTATACTTTTTTCTCTCCTTCGGATTGTTTTTGAATCGATTGAGATATCGCCTTCAATGGTATTATTATCTACTCTTGTAGGTATTTAAAACATTTACAAACTTTTGATTCCCAAGTTCCTACTAAAAACTGAGGAATATCCTGTTTGTGGGCAACAACGGGTTCAAAATAAAATAAGGATCATGACAATTACTCATTTAAATAAAAAAACAAAACTAAAGTACATACTAATGACCAATCATATTTACATAGGTCATGTAGTTTCTTTTTTGATTTACAGCTTGATTCCACACTGTATTTTCGGTACAAGTATGGAATTTTCAGCATGGATATCGGTAGCCCAAATTTTGCAGGCTGACCATAGATATCAGATGTGCGTCGGTGCGGGCTCGAACCCCGGACCATGTGCATGGTCGGCGAGAGTCCTAACCACTGTGCTACCGACGCACACAGTTCATGGTAGGCGAAGATTGAGGTCTATTGTGTTGTTTTTTGTACACACAGTTTAGACTGTATGTGATTAATCCCACAAAGTGCTTCCATCACTTTCAATAACCTTCAATTAGAGTAATGTGATGAAATAATTGTGAAACAGTCATCTCAAGGAACCGAAATATATGCATTAATCCCCCCCCCCAAAGTGTTTCCATCACCTTCAATAACCAACCAACCTTGAATTACAGTTATATGATGAAATAATTGTGAAACAGTCATTAATATTGATTGATTTTGTGACCTGACATTAATAAGTGTTTGGCAATAAATGATGATAATGATGATGGATTTCTATTAAGATTAATCGCGTTAGGATTTTCGATATGATTTACTAGCCATTTTGGAACATGTTCTTTTCGACGACGACATTGGAACATTCTGTTAGTCCTACCTATATAGGGGTCACCGCAACAACTGCAGGTGAACTTGTAGATATAGACATGGAGTGGACAATATCTTCATTTTACCAGTTTTGTTCCTATCCAGCATAAACGTTCCCCCATAGTGAAATGTTTGTTCTCAAGGGCCCGAAAAATATGTACGAGTGACACATTCATGGATGAGTTACGACAAATACATTCAGTTTTATTAGCTAATGGTTATCCGGAAAACTTTATCACTTGTCACAGTAAAGAAGGAGTACATCTCGAAAAGACATATTCTGTACCAAAGAAAGCTATTTTTATTAACCTTCCATTCAAGAGTGACCAGATTATGCAGTTGACAGATAGCTCAAAGACTTCGGTCAGCCATCAAACGCACATTCTACGCCGCCACATATCTTTTTCTCACACGCCGAACATTTTCGATCCCTGTACCTACCTACGATTAAAGGATGAAATTCTCTGGACTCTACTTCAAACTGTATCTACAAGTTCACCTGCAGTTGTTGCGGTGACACCTATATAGGTAGAATCACAACAGAATGTTCCAGTGTCGTCGTCGAAATGAACATGTTCCAAAATGGCTACTAAATCATATAGAAAATCCCAATGTAATTAATTATCTGAATAGAAATCCATCATCATCATCCATTGCCAAACACTTATTAATATCAGGTCACAAAATCAATCAATATTAATAACTATTGAATTGAATTTTGATTTTCCCGTCGATTGATTGGACCGAAGTGCTCGGTCTCAGGTTGACATGTCGGCTTCAATCAATCGACGGGAAAATCAAAAATTCAATTCAATAATTAATATGACCCGTTGCACAAGAGGTGGCTCTCGTGGCCCAAGTGGTCTAGTGGATAACGCTTTGGCGTTTGAAACTATGGGTACTGGGTTCGAGCCTCGGTGGGAACATCATCACTCACTGAGAAATGCAGGTACATCCAGCTGACGAGTCCCAATTAGGACGAAATGCGCATCCTGGATTCCACTGCTAGCCACCATCCACCAATTGTACAATATTAATAACTGTTTCACAATTCACGAATAGGAACAAAACTGGTAAAATAAAGATATTGTCCACTCCATGTCTGTTTACGAAAAAAAATAGATCGTGTGTACAGTCAAAACACAATGGACTTCAATCTTCGCCTACCATGAACTACATGACCTATGTAAATAAATATGATTGGTCATTAGTATGTACTTTTGTTTGTTTTTTATTTAACTGAGTAATTGTCATGACCATTATTTTATTATTGTGATGAACCATGTTAGTTGTAAAGCGGTTGTAAAGAAACTCCGAAATGTAGATATCATCTAGCGGCGAAATTTGTCTTTTAAATGCTTTATTCGATTATATATATATATATATATATATATATATATATATATATATATATATATATATATATATTCGATTCAATAAAAATCAATCGAATCAAGGACACATGCACAAAAATGCACAAACCTCGTGAATGTTTTGATTTGCTTTTCTCCACTACTGTACCATTTTCATTGACTTTTCTATCTGAATTCATTGAGGAATTAGTTAGTTTAGACTCGTCTAAACAATCTGTACACACAGAATAACCACATTTAGCACAAACCCAATGTGTATTAAACATTGTTGTATCACAGACATCACACATTTCACGTACACCTTTGACAGGTTTTTTCCAGGCAATCAAGTTAGTATTATCACCCCCACCATTATTATTATTATGATTATTATTGTCATCATTTTTATTAACAGCATTTGTATTAGAGGATTTTCCATTTCTACCAGATAATGAGGTGATTTTTTGAAATTCGATATGATTTGAATTATTACCATTCAAAGATGTCAATTCTTGATGAAGTAGACGACAGAAAAGACCTCCAGCACATTCTAATATATAACGTGCAGCATAGGCGCTTAGAAAAGGTGAAACTGAAATTAAAAAAAAATTTAAAAAAAGTCGATTAAACATTGGGATTCGAACAGATATATCATGAAGAAGATTAATGAGACTTACTCACTCACTCACTCATCAGTAGTGCACATCTACAACCTCATCGATAATAATAATAATAATAATAATAATAATAATAATAATAATAATTTGCCTTTATTCCAAAACATTACTTGTGATACAGAATGGAATTCTCACCATTTCACTACAGTATCGCATCCAGTTAGTACATTATCAATAAATAAAATTCTACATAGATTAAGGGTAATCTCAATTCATTATGACAACAACATACTAGCATGTCGGTAGCAAAGCCAAAATTGAACTGAGTGTTTGAAGTGTTAGAAAAGTAGATGGTAGCATATTTACTGGCGTAAGCGGTAACAAAACAGGAGAGAGAAAAGGAAAAGAAAGAGAGAAAACGTTGTACCTATAAATGATATGAATTGGAAAGACGAGATCCAGTTGTTCTACTGACTATTTAATAAATTATAGGTATCACGCCTAATGCTTTCTTTATCGCACAGAACACGAGCCAATTAGGGTATGGTTGAGTTTTTGTACTTTCTAGTGCGAGCATTTAGTTTTCTATATAGGCTTCTGGTTTTGCTGATGAGATACAAGGTAGGGGAGAGTTGTGAATGAAGAGGGTGTTGTGAGTTAGATAGGTTGAATGGATTTAGCCCATTTTTCACATGAGTCCATGTGCCTGTCCACCAGAATAATAACAGGTTGGTTAAGTGGCACGTTGCTTACCCTGCTGACAACCTTTAACATCCTGCGTAATAAGATATAGTCTTTCTTCAGTAGCCCTGGAAAACTAAGGAAGAACAATAGAGAATAATAGGCAGGATGCAAGAGTTAACGAATCGTAAGAGTAAGGGTTGGGTGGGTTATTGCAGAATGTTTAAACTTCTTGATGTAAAGGTAAGACGGAATATTTTCTTAGAAATCATCAAGATATGAGACGACCAGGAAAGATCAGAAGATAGAACGACGCCTAAGTATTTAATTTCTGACTTGGTTTCTATTTCAGTGCCATCCATCTATGTTGTACACCTCCTGAGTGCTTACCACCAGTTTGTTAAGGTCAGATTTATCCCTAAAGGTGAAATTGACTGTTTGATATTTGGAAGGGTTTAAGGTAGGACCGTTTTCCTTGTACCATTGGCTGACTTCTGATAAAAAGCCGTTTAGTTTAGTGCAGTCACTTTGACATTTGACAGGCAAAGATACAGTTAGGTCATCAGCATATTTGACAAAACTAATGCCATTTGAAGATGATAGGTCATGTAGAAAAAAAGAAAAAAGAAGTGGGGAAAGTACAGCAACTTGGCGGACACTAGCTTCAGTGAGCACAGCAGAGGAGGATTCGCCTTTGTATACGGTATACTGCATTCTGTTGGAGAAGTAGGAATGCAACGAGTTTGTGACCCAGGACTCAGTTTGTGTATCAAGAGTTCAACACGAAACCTCAGGTTACAAGAGCCCATGTTAACATATAAGCACTGATTAAATATTCAATTAAGAATGAATTCCAACTTGTGTTTCAGCAGTTCACGATACTGCAACGGTACCGCTATCAAATGTCGCCGCCACAAGTCACAGACTTAACTCAATACACACCTCACTCCGTCTCACCCCTGAATGAAACCGATCACAATCTCATACTAAAAAACTTTAGGAAATTCACCTCGAAAACAACCTGCAGTAAATGTATGCCCCACATGTTACCGTCTAATGGTATATACTGATGAAAAGTCTCCAACTAGGACGAAACTGTCATAGAGTATTTTCTGATCATTAAAAATTATAGAAAATATCCCCATTTAGACATTTAAAAAAGAGAAAGACTAAGCGAAGAAATATTTACTTTTCAGAAAAATATTTTACTTTTAAAAGTTAAATCATGTAGCGCACATGAGTGATGTAAGCGTACAGATCGATAAAAATGACTAAAGAAGAATTAAATATCAGTTGAAGGACCAGTGAAAACCTTGTAATCAGTTCGGCGCTGAAGAGTCCCAAACTGGGACGAAATGGATAAATCTACGCTACTGTAGCCAATTTTATGATAAATATATATTACCATTGGTTTTGAAGCTATTCAAAATCATCAAGTAACCTCTACTAGAACCATCGCCACGCGCAATCAGTCCCAGACCGATAACCGATTCCAAGGTTGTCCTGTTTTTCACTCCTTTTATCTCTTTCTTTTATGTTTCGATTGGAATGTGAGTTTCAGTAACAGTAGAGTTATTTGTATGGGGGTGGAATTGCCAGCCTCACGGTCAAACCTTCTATTGTCACCGGTCTTACTTACTAGTGCGGTGAGAGCTGACCGCTAGCCAAAAATTGGTAGACATTAATTTACGTCAATGTTTATATCCCAATATTGGTCGTGGAAAAATGAGAACAAAGGCTTTGCGTAGGCGGATACAGTTAGCATATAGATGATCTGACATTCAAGAAACAGTCACAAAGAGATGCAAGGTTAACTTTCTGTGAGAAACAACCAATCAGAGCAGACTGCGTTTGTCTACTAACAATAATCTATACTAATGTACATGAAAATCTATAAATATGTGTTGATTTCTTTAATAAACGATCTGTTGACTGGGCCTTGTCTTCAGTTGCTGTTACACTACTACTATCGGATAGCAGCAACGTTTGCATAGCTTGTCATCTGGCGATCAAATTCGGGCACCATATATGAGGCATGGTTAGCGAACATTCTACCTCTAAACCAAATGATGTATTCACTCGACTTATCACGACACAAAAAAGGTGGTGATGATTTATCCTGCATTATAGATATACACATATATATTCCAGTCAACGAAAAGTATTCATCCTCCTGACTATATCTTTATCTACCTACCTACACTTTGACTAAACATCTAAGGACTATTCATATTTTTATTTTTATTTTTTTATTACAGCTTGATGCCATACCGTATTTTCGGTACAAGTATGGAATTTGTCTTTGTTTTCTTTAATCGATTCTCCAATTTGTAGTTTGTGCAGTTCGAGACGGAGGTGATTACTATTTGACTAGCGCTTTCTCTTGGTGGAAAGTGAAACTTCAGTTACACACACACACACACATATATATATATATATATATATATATATATATACATACATACATACATACATACAATCACACAGTGGAGTTATACACTAATATTTACTGATTGGACCACGTTTCGAGCACAAATTATCATGGTCACTGATAATCATATCAGGGCACTCATTCACACAACTTTCTTCTTTCCTTCATTTATATACATGTGTGGAACTGACTAGATATTGGAATAATGTATATTCAGAAATAATAATATGAGTATTATTGATCAAGTACAATCAGATGGGAAATAAGACGAGTGTTTGTGTAGTGATAATAGGTAACTTGTCAGAATGTTTTGATGTGTTTGAATTGAAATAGAATTTCGAGATTATTTATTATCCTCCTCTGATTTGACTGACTGACTGACTGACTGGTGGTAATAATATCTTCCATGCATATCTCTGGTATTTGCATTGAGTCACTTCTATCGTGCATGTGTTGTGTTGGGTGTAGACTAAATGAACCAGTTAGGATTCAGTAATCAATCTCTCTCTCCACTTACATTGATTACTTATTAGAATCTTAACCCTCCTGCACCCACCCTATTGTGTGGTTGTGTGTTAATGTGTGAAGTGCAACAGCTGAGCTTTTTTCTAAATTACTTATCTTCTCGGGGTCAACCATTCTTCCCTTGGCTAAATTCTTATGTTCTGACAATCTGACTACCCACGATCTACTAGTTTGACCTATATAGTTGACCCAACTCACAGTGATTGCAGAGTATTTTGTAAATTATATTATTTTGTTTAATTGGGTCGTTCGGATCTTTTAGCCTACAGAGCTTATCCTAATTGAGTGAGTTTGTAGGTTTGAATGTCACCCTAATTCCTGCTTTATCAAGAATCATACAAGGGGTTTGAGATGTCCCCTTCTTATATGGTATCACTGTAGATGACTTATATTCTCTCTTATCTATGTTATCATTCCTAGTTTCACAATTATTTTATTTTGTTTTTGGCCTTTACTGATCTTCATAATGAATTTTATAGGATAGGAATCTAAGGCCGTCAGAAGTAATCTATGTAGGTGGGGAGAGAGAGATAGATTGATTACTGAATCCTAACTGGTTCATTGAGTCTACACCCAACACAACACATGCACGATAGAAGTGACTCAATGCAAATACCAGAGATATGCATGGAAGATATTATTACCACCAGTCAGTCAGTCAGTCAGTCAAATCAGAGGAGGATAATAAATAATCTCGAAGTTCTATTTCAATTCAAACACATCAAAACATTCTGACAAGTTACCTATTATCACTACACAAACACTCGTCTTATTTCCCATCTGATTGTACTTGATCAATAATACTCATATTATTATTTCTGAATATACATTATTCCAATATCTAGTCAGTTCCACACATGTATATAAATGAAGGAAAGAAGAAAGTTGTGTGAATGAGTGCCCTGATATGATTATCAGTGACCATGATAATTTGTGCTCGAAACGTGGTCCAATCAGTAAATATTAGTGTATAACTCCACTGTGTGATTGTATGTATGTATGTATGTATGTGTGTGTGTGTGTGTGTGTGTGTGTAACTGAAGTTTCACTTTCCACCAAGAGAAAGCGCTAGTCAAATAGTAATCACCTCCCTCTCGAACTGCACAAACTACAAATTGGAGAATCGATTAAAGAAAACAAAGACAATATAAAGTCGGAACAAAATGCACCAGGGAGACACTGTTGCCGAAGAATAAAGAACTAAAGTGAAAATCAGTCAAAATTAAGAACTTTTGCATTCTATGCATTCCGAGTCTCTATACTGAAGATCAGATGGCTGGAAAGAACTACGAACAAGAAACTATGGAACAAACGAAACAAAACAAGAACCAATCACCAAACAACAAATATGCAGGAGAAAGTGGATTGGATGGATTGGACACTCGCTCGCTGAGGAGGCCGCCGCTGGGTGACATCGCGTGTCAAGCCCTCGATTGGAACTAGGCCGAAAGGTAAGCGGCGAGTGGATCGTCAGTGCAAGGGTGACATGGAGGAGATGGTATGACGATCAGGTTGAAACAGTATAGACTAACATGGATGCAGGTGAAAAGTACAGCAGAAGGAAGACAGAAGCAAGTGGAGGGAGACGTGCAATTGAAGCCGTATGTTCCACTAGGAACCCAAGGGAACAATAAATAATAATAATGTATTCCGAGTGGAGTATGGAGAGAGTTCCAAGAGGTTTTGGTAGGATGAAGTCTCTACGCCTACATACACACACACACACACACACACACAACCCTCCTTCTTTTTCAAGTTTACAATCTCTCTGGATAAGGTTCAAAAGCACGTGTCCGTCGACAGGCAGACAGACAGCCAAAACTCTGATCTGGTGAACAATCAACTCTTGTAGAAACATCAACACAAATCAATTTAGAAAGAATAGCACAAAATACATTATAAAATGCACAGGAACACAAAGAATGTCTTCATAAGTGTTTTAAAAATAGTGTATAGTGTAGTGTGAAAGCAAATTCGAAATAGAGAAAAAGTCACATACACCCAACTATTAAATACGTCAATATGATTAAACAAACAACAATATGTATATATGTGTATATATAATCGACTTACCTGGATGATACATTTCCCAAAGAGAGCGTTCTAAAGCATCCGATTCGGTAGATCGACAAAAATCGGCTATTTTTAATACACCACGATTATTGTAACATAATCTATTTTGTAATTTTTAGATTCGGTGTTTTTCGTAAAGTGTGTTATAGGCGGGTGTGTGTGTGTGAATGTTCATCACGTTAACAACCATAGCAACAACAAAAATCACATGATGAAATACCCAAGGAGAGAAAAAAGAAAAAGAAAAATCAATAATTTTGTTAACATAAACAAAAATCAAATTGATGATATGAATTAAGAAACTGTGCCTTATTTTTTTTTTAATTCTTACACATGAACTTTTTTAACGATTGTTCGTACAATTCATACCTGATAATGATTGTAAAGTGTTTCAGCACATTATTTTTATTTTTTTATTGTTCCCTTGGGTTCCTAGTGGAACATACGGCTTCAATTGCACGTCTCCCTCCACTTGCTTCTGTCTTCCTTCTGCTGTACTTTTCACCTGCATCCATGTTAGTCTATACTGTTTCAACCTGATCGTCATACCATCTCCTCCATGTCACCCTTGCACTGACGATCCACTCGCCGCTTACCTTTCGGCCTAGTTCCAATCGAGGGCTTGACACGCGATGTCACCCAGCGGCGGCCTCCTCAGCGAGCGAGTGTCCAATCCATCCAATCCACTTTCTCCTGCATATTTGTTGTTTGGTGATTGGTTCTTGTTTTGTTTCGTTTGTTCCCATAGTTTCTTGTTCGTAGTTCTTTCCAGCCATCTGATCTTCAGTATAGAGCGAAGACAGTTAGTTGTTGATAAAGGTCTGCAACCTTTAGGAAATATTCTTTGTGACCCGCCCGCCAACCAAGTTTCTCATCCGATCCGTATAGAAGAACTCCCAGACTTCACGTTGTTTGTATTGAAAATCCAACCTAACGAATTTTGTTGTTGATGCTCGCTGAGTGACGAAGATTTCCAGATTGGTTTCAGGTTGATGAATGTGTGTTTCTCGCCTTCCCGATGATTCTCGCTCGATTTGACACCCTCGTCCGTTCCGACTTACTGTAGTTGAGACAATGCTCCCTAGATAAGTGAATGAATGAAGTAACCTCTTTCAAACCCCTCCCGTTGATGGTGATTGGCGCTGGATGTTGCTGTTCTTGTTGTTGTTGTTGGTGGTGGTGGTGGTTGGTTATTTCCATAACCTCCGTTTTGTCTATGTTCACTTAGAGTCCTGTCTTCACTGTTTGCTTCTTCGACTAGTTTGTCGGTTTTCGCTTGTTCATCTTCGATTTTGTGTGACATCAAACATAAGTAATCCGCGAAATCCAGGTCTTCTAAGTTCTTCACGTCGGTCGGTCCAGGATATCCCTGCCTTCTCGTTTCCAACCGTCTGAAGTATAATCCAGTCAGTCCACCACAATTAGGAATATCATTCATTGGTGATAATAAGCACCCTTGTCTGACTCCTCCGTTTACTCCAAATGCCTCGCTGAGTTTTCCGTTGTGGATGACTTGACATGTCCCGTTGTCGTACAGTTGTTGATTGAGGATGATGAATATTTGGGGTACGCCGTAGTACTCAAGTAATTTCCAAATTACATCACGATCAACGCTGTCGAAGACCTTCTCAAAGTCTATAAAGTGGAGGTAGAGGTTTGATTGCCATTCCATGCTTTGTTCTGTGATGATGCGTTGAGTTACAATTTGATCAGAACATGATTTGCCTAACTTTCCTGAATCCAGCTTGTTCTGGTCGGAGTTCTTTATCCAGTGCGTCCTTTATTCTCTCCAGGATGATTCGACTCAGGATTTTACTTGGCGTCGACAGGAGCAGAGCATGACTCCTCGCCAGTTCTTGCAGAGTGAGGCGTAAGTCGCCCTTCTTCGGTAGTTTAACGAGGTAACCTTTCCTCCAGTCAGTAGGCACCTTTTCTCTCCTTCCAAACCTTTTGCAATAATGGAGTCAGCATGTCTGCTATAGTCTCTGGGTCCGCTTTTAGTGCTTCAGGGGGTATTCCATCTGGTCCAGCTGCTTTTCCAGCTTTCAGAAGCTTGATTGCATTCAAGACTACAGCTCTCGTTGGCCGCACATTATTACTATATGATTATTGTTTCTTTTAATTCCTAGAGGAACATAAGGCTTCAGCCACACTTCTCCACTCCCTTCGCTTTTCTGACAATGCATTCATCTCCTCTTCACATCACATTCTCCCACTTCCATGTCACCCTACCATCGCACTGACCACCAACTCACCGCTTCCCTTTCGGCTTCCACTCGAACAATGGCCTGGTGTGTGTGATGTCACTCACTTGATGGTGGTTTGTTTTCTCAGTGTATGGCCAGCGAATTCACATTCACCTCCATTTCTTCCTGCATATTTGTTACACAATCGGTCAGATGAGTGGCAGTTTTCCTGCTGAGGGAGGCTCTATGTTCCATTAGGAACACCAGAGACGAGTAATATAACTAATATAACAATAACTGCAGGCTGGCATGACCATACGAATGTCCTCCTTCATGGTTGGCTGTCAGCGGACATGGCCGTTTAAAATGGAAGACATCAGAAGCCTGAGTAGCTGTCTTTCATCATAGGTCTTCTGAGTCTTATCTCACCTGTTAAGTAGTATAATAAGGTGAGCAGTATCTAGGTGAGGCTCCAGTCGAGTACTAATTAGGTAGGTGGGAGGAGAAATCAATCAATCGACGAGGTTGTGAAGCAGCTGCATCGATTGAGATGGTTAAGATATGTGTTACGCGTTGCTAGCCTAACCATCGATCGCCTTCTTCGACCGACAGGCAATATTAGCTGACTGAAATGGGATGGAACAGGTTGGAAAAGAGTTAGCTAGTGCTGGGTGCTCAAACCAAAACCAATATGGCTTCAGGATTTTCATCATGACTTGACATTGGTTAGAGAACCATTGGAAAACCTGGGAGTACTGGACTGCTGTTTCGTCCTGGTTTAGGACTCTTCAGCAGTACGCACCCACCGGGAATCGAACCCAGAATCTTTTGGTTACAAGGCGAGCTCGTATACCATAACTGTAACCAATCAAATCCCCATAAACCAACAATTTGATATGGCTTCATAAGTCAATGAAATCCCTATCAGTTAGATTAAGTCAGCCAGTCGCGTAGGAAGGAGTAGACTGCTTGACTGTCTAGTTGGGGTCCTCAGGACAACGTTGTAAGAACCAATCAAGGCTGGAGACAAATGGTGATATGGCTCAAAGTTCTCGTTGTCAATGACTGGTGATACACAGGCATCCACTCCTTGTGATTTATCAAATCCAATGAAACCCTATTGTTCTTCCAGGTTACTATTCTTTTTGGCTCACAAGTGTGTTTAATATCGATTTTTTGAACCTCTCTTTACTCTCTTCTCTTACAAGGAGATATTGTGGCAACTGGAAGTACTGCACACGCGTGCAAAGTTCTACGTTGAAACCAGTCAGTCAGTCAAACATTGTCAGTTTGTCTGTGTGTTTTCGACATAGAACTTTGCACCGGTGTGCACCAGTCCAAGTAGACAAACTCCACTCCTTCTACCACACAAAGAAACAGAAGAAGTTGAAAAGAAATGCATGACAGAGACAGTAAACAGAGGTGTGAGACAAAGGAATAGTAATAACGAAGAAGAATATAGTTTTACTGGAAATCGTAAGTCACAAGGAGTGGATGCATCTCCACCAGCCATTGAGAACGATCACTTTGAGCCATATCACCAATTGTTTCCAGCCCTTCATTGGTGTTTACCGTCCCGAGGACCCCAACCAGCCAGTCAGGAAGTCTACACCTTCCTACATGACTGGCTGTCTGGCTTAAACTAACTGTTTTGGATTTCATTGACTGGTGAAACCATGTTTTGGTTTGAGCGCCGCTACCTAGCTAGCTCTTTTCCAGCCTGACCCTGTGTCAGTCAGCTAACATTGCCCATTGTCGAGGGAGGCGATGGATGACTAGGCATGCGTAACACGTGTCCTAACCATTTCAGTCGATGTAACTGCTTCACAGCCTCGTCGATTGATTGATTTCCCCTCCCACCTACCTACCTAGCACTTGACCGAGGCCTAACCTCAATATTGCTCACCTTATTACGCCTAGCACTTCACACGGGAGATAAAACGCAGAACACTAAAATTCATTAATAACAGGATAGAAAAAATAAAAATCATTTAAAGAAGAACAAGAAGAGGAAGAAAACAGCGTACACTTACTTTCTAAAACCCCAAAATCGACAAAATACCGATACAGGTGATGGTGAATGGTGTGTAACATTTCGTTTATTATCTTTCAACAACTTTTCAGTTGTTGTCCTTTCTTTTTGTCGATTTTTCTCTGATACAGAAGAAGATGATGAACGTCCTGGTGGTGGTCGTTTAAATTGACCAACTTTTCTACTTTCATCTGAATAAGAATTTTGATCATCATTTGAACTTGAATTCACATCTTGATTAAATAAAGCATGTTTACTTTCTGAGTAGTCATCATCAGAGTCATCAACACCATTGATACAATTTGATGGTGAATTATGATAGGTGACTCTAGCATGACGACAAGCTCGACATTTTGGTACTTGTTTTAAGCCAACATCACTACAACTAATCAACTGGACAAAAACACGTTGACTACGTTTGTAAAAATTCAATGAATGTGTGGAATGTAATGATTTATTGGCTGTACGATTTACTAGAAAATTGTGGGAGTAAAAACAAAACAACAAACAAACAAAACATCAATAAACCTTTCGATTAAAATATATATATATATATTGAGTAACATGTTATTGTAGTTAATTAAAATATATAAATAAATATCGATAATTTTGAATAATTTGAAACCTGCGATACATGTATTATTATTATTTCCTTTAAATCCTAGAGGAACATAGGGCTTCAACCAAACATCTCCATTGCGTTCGGTTCTCTGCCAATTTTTTTACCCCGCTCCAAGTCTGCCCACACGCTTTCATCCCCTTTTCACACGACCTCCTCCAAGTCACCGTTGCACTGACGACCAACTCGCCGCTTCCCTTTCGAGTTCCACTAGAGCAATGGCCTGTCGTATGATGTCACTCACTTGATGGTGGTTTGTTTTCTCAGAGTATGATCAATTCCCATTCACCTCCATTTCTTCCTGCATATTTGTCACACAATCGGTTCCTGGTGGGTTGGTTCACCCATTCCCAGAGATCCTTCCCTGTTGTTGATCCTTACTGGCTAGAGAAGACAGCTAGCTGTTAGTGAAGCTCTGTAGTTTGTTTGAGATGCTGTTTATGACGCGGTGCTGGCCAAATCTCTGATCCCTCGTATAGTGAGTATCACTGACTGACTGACTGACTGACTTCACATTGGAGTTGAAAATCCGGATGTTATTTTCATTTTCATGGTGAGTAGTATTATTGTTCTCCTCCATACAGATTTGAGGGAAATGAAAGCTTGTCTTGCTTTCCCGTTGATCCTCGCTGCTTTGATATCCTCGTCAGTTCTGTCCGCCTGTAGTCGACACGACGATGCTTCCCAAGTGGGTAGGTAGGTAGGTTGGTTGGTAGGTAGGCGGAAGAGGTTGTTTCTTTCAGACTCCTCCCATTTATGCTGGCTGATTGTTGTCTGTTGTTGTTGCAGTGGCTGTTGGTGTTGACCAGGAATCTTCATCGCCACATCTGTTTTCTCTATGTTCACCTGAAGGAAGTCCTATCTTCTCTGGATGCTTCTTCTGTCGACTTGTTGCTTTTCACTTGCATATATTCCAGTTTTGGGAAATCGGACTTATATGTGTTATCGGCGAAGTCCAGATCCTCCAAGTTGTTTTTTGCGTGAGTCCATTTTATGCCTGTTTCCTCATTGCGATACATGTACTTGTTGAGTATCTCCGCCTGTCACGTGGAAGGCCCGGATTTGATTCCCGGTCAAGGTGCTGGCTTTGTGCGTCGGTGGCACAGCGGTTAGGACTCTCGCCGACCATGGTCCGGGGTCCGATCCCCTGCCGACGACGCACACCTGATATCAATGATTGGCCTGCAAAATTTGGACTACCGATATCACATGCTGAAAATTCCATACTTGTATCAAAAATACGGGGTGGAATCAAGCTATAATCAAAAAAATTAAAAAATATCACTTATCAAAAACAACGCTGAAGTGAAATTTTCTGTTCTCTCAAAATTATAATTAATTTATGATAAATTGAGTGGTGATAATCGTCAGACATGTACACTCCAACAGAAATTAACCAATTGAGTGGCTCAATGACACTCGACGATCTACAATGGCTGAAATAAATAAATGTTCATGTAAGTCCCAGCATTGTACAAAAGGGTGTTTGGACAGCAGTTTAGGGAGAGAGAGTTGTGCAAAAAGCCGATCCAAAGAAGTTTTACATCTCGATAGTGGTAAGCGGTAAGGTCTTTCTCACTGGCCTACCCCATCAAAAGAATTTGCAGAAGAGCTTCTCTTACTACTCGAGAATACCCTGGCACAAAACAGGTACCTAGCATGTTTCATGTGGAAGAACATGAAACTAAAACCAAAAAAGAGAAAAGTGTACTGTGGCGCCAAAGGAAATGGTGTATATGAATCTAGACTTCAAGGGAGACTTAGCGGAAGATATCTACAAGAGGGAAAATTTCTACTTCACTAATGAAGACCTTTCCCTGCAGCAACACTAAGAGTGATATTCACTATCCACCTATTGCTGCTAAGCAATGTGAAGAACAAACTATGTGAATATATATCAGCAGTACGCACCCATTGGGATTCGAACCCAGGACCTTCCAATTACAAGGCGAGCTAGCTCGTATACCATTCAGTCACTGGGACCCGATCCAACTCAATGGCCAGCGTATGAATTCTAACTTCTACCAATTCGTGATTTAGCGCGACATCAACCATTGTCGTAGGTGATTAATGCCGATGATTCCCGAAGTAGGATTGAGAAAACAGCTGTCCAGTACTCCTTGGTGGTTTTCAATGCTTCTCTAACTGATATCAATCCGTGATCAACTCGTAAAAACATAACCAACCCTTACAAATCAAACTATAGAATATATATATCAATTCACCTGCTCGTGTAGAGCTACGCTGTTCTATGTCGGTCCTTTCAAAACATGTCAGAGAATATTACTTAGTATGTGACTGCAAAAAAGAGAGGCAATGGTTTAGTAAGCCTCTCAACTTATAGGATCATTCAGAGTCATTGACAAAGTAAAAACAAAAGTCTACTAAAGACAGTATCTTTATTTTTTGATTACAGCTTGATTCCACCCCGTATTTTTGATACAAGTATGGAATTTTCAGCATGTAATATCGGTAGCCCAAATTTTGCAGGCCAATCATTGATATCAGGTGTGCGTCGTCGGCAGGGGATCGGACCCCGGACCATGGTCGGCGAGAGTCCTAACCGCTGTGCCACTGACGCGCTCTGATTTCTTTGTACTACAGAAGCCTTCGCTCGTCATAAGCATCCAAAATCTGGAACCATGTATCACCCCCCCCCAAAAAAAAAACTAGTCCAATCTCTACATTTTTACTATGCATCTAATTCAGTTATCTTTAGTTTTTGTCTGTTTGTTTGTTTCTAATCCCCCCTTCATCAATTTTTTTCTACCCTGAGTTATAAAAAACGATTTTTTTTCAATCTGTTTTCCTACTCATCCTGTTCATACCTGTAATCGTTAGAATAGAAAAGAAGTAAAAAAAACTACTTTCTAATCCTGTGTAATTTTGTTTCTAAGCCCCCTTGTAATTTTTACATCAAGTTGAGAGTTATTTTCACCGCCGTTAATCTCCCTTCGTTATTATTATTATTATTGAATTAAGTAACAATTATTATCTATGTAAACTTATGTATGAATAAATGCGATTGTACAACCTTGTTTTGAGGGTGAAATTTCTGAGTAGACAGATACCTTTGTTGAACTTCTTTATTGTTGTGTCTGACACGGACACTGATTATCCTCAATTCTATTCAATTTCATCATAGATGTACTAATGAACTTAACCCTAACTCACTTCAGAGACTCAGAAATTGACTTGCTACCACCAGGGAATAATAATCTCGTTGACTTAGAATATGCAGACGATATAGTCCTACCTCCTAGGCGAGGACGCTGACAAAATAAAGCTGAGTCTTTTAAACACACCTTGATTACAAAGCAATCTTCTAATGTTTGGCATGCGATTCGCTCCTGCTGTCAAATGTGAGATGATGAGGCTACAGGACTGATTCGACTACACTGACTCCTAGTTTAGAAATAAGGGGTGGAGTGGTAGAGCACGTTGGCCACTTCACTTATTTGGGAAGTACCATCAGCCAGTCCCAACGGGTTGATCTCTGACGAAATCTCAACTAGGTACGGATACATACAGAGGGCTTGTTTCGGATATGCCAGTTTACGCCGTCTCTGGCTTGGTAGACGTGAAATCCCGTTGGCCATCGACCAAAGGGTGGGTGTACTGCTCATCAGTCCGCTCCGTCCTCCTTTATGGTCAGCTGTGAGTGAGACCTGGCCATTGAGAGTGGAAGACATGAAAAGGGTGGCTGGCTGGCTAGCTGTCTTTGATCATAGGTGCCTATGTTCTATCTCCCGTGTGAAGTGTTAGGTGTAATAGGTTGAGGAATATTGGGGTTAGGCGTGGGTCGAGTGGGAGGTAGGTGAGTGGGAGGGGAAATCTACCAATCGACGAGGCTGTGAAGCAGTTACATCGACTGAAATGGTTAGGACATGTGTTACGTATGCATGTCTAGTCATCCATCGCCTTCCTCATCGACGGTCAATGTTAAAGTAGAACCATGGACTAAAAAAACCTGTCCGGCTGAAACATTAGCGCGTAAAAACCAATAACTAACAAAGTTATTTATACATAAATGTATCAGTTGGTTCATGGGTACAATGCTCGCTAACTATGCCTCAGGTCGTCTCGGGTTAGATTCCCAGCCGACTGATTCCTTAAACATTGTCTAGCTGGCTAGGAATCCCACCATGTGAAAAAAGAAACCTACAACATTCCACTCGGAACTCAATGACATGAGAAACAGAAAATACATCAGCGCTTAATGATTAACAGCAGGATAGATAAATGCGATATAAACAGTAAGAAGGTATTTTTTACACAGTACGTCGATGACACAGCAGTTAGGACGCTCGCCGAGCATGCACATGGTCCGGATCTCGATCTCCGGCCACAGGACGAACTCCACAAACCTCGCTAAGCCAGTAATAAAGCTGGTAAAAAAGGAAGGTTGTGAGCATAAGGAGACTAGCAACTCCATCCATCTTGTAAAAGTAATAAACGCCACTGCCACCTCCAAGCCTCTAGCTAGAAGCCGTCCTCCTATGTTCCACTGGCAATGTGAAGGAATACGAATTCCGGCAGCAACTCTAAGTTTGACATTCTCTAGCCGTCCAACACTTCGGAACAATGCAAAGGACAAACTCTCGCATATGACCGATTCAATGTGCATATATATATATATATATATCAGTTCACCTGCTCGTGTGAAGCTAGGTAAACAGGTCGTTCTATGCAGCTCTTATCAAAACGTGTTAGAGAACATCATCCAGCATGACTGTAAAGAGGAGGCACTGGTTCAATCAGAAGCGCAATAACTGAACATCTCGTCAATACCTGTCACAGAATCTCAACTGACTTATCATTTAGAGTCATTTACAAAGCAAACGAAAATCTACCAAAGGCAGTGTGTTTCCGACTTCTTTGTACTGTGGAAGCTCTCGTCATATGCATCGAAAAGCCGGAGCTATGTGTACAAAAGAAACTAGTCCAGCCTTTGCAACTACCATGGACTTAGTTCGGTATGTTCCCTTATCCTTCAGCTATTTTTTTTGTTTTGTTATCTGTGTGTGAAATTTTCTCTCTTTGCCTTCATTCAATTCAGTTATAAAATCAGTCATTTTAAGTTTGTTTTCATGCTCCTCCTGATCACACTTGTAATCCGTTTAGAATAACCATTTTACAATTATATTCTAATCCTGTTTAATTTTCTGTTTCTATGCCTCTGTGCGTCGGTGGCACAGTGGTTAGAACTCTCGCCGACCATGCACATGGTCCAAGGTTCGATCCCCTGCCGACGCACACCTGATAGTTATGGTCGGCCTGCAAAATTTGGGCTACCGATATCCATGCTGAAAATTCCATACTTGCACCAAAAATTCAGTGTGGAATCAAGCTGTAAATCAAAATAAAAAATAAAATCTATCTATGTTCACACCTCTTAACTTACATTTCAAGTTGAAAATTTTGATTTCAATTTGTTTCCATGCTAATTTCGTTCACACCTGTAATTCTCTCTATCCCTGTGTTTCTAAGCCTCTTGTAATTCATATCAAGTTGAAAATAAATATCACCTTTTATTCGCCTTTAAAGTTATTATTTCTCCAGTTATCAAATATTAATTTTTTTGCATATGTTGTAACTACTTTCTAATCCTATGTAATCTTGTCTCTAAGCCGCTTGTAATCTATATTCCTACCTTCAAACTTTCATATCAAGTTGAAAATTATTATCACTTTCGTTACTATGTAGAATTAATCAAATACTTATTATATCCAGTCGGTGGCATAGAGGTTAGGACACTCGCCGACCATCCACACGATCCGGGGTTCGATCCCCGGCCACAGGACATACCCCATAAACCTCGCTAAGCCATAAATAATCCTGGTAAAGAGGAAAGGTTGGGCATGAGGCTGGCTAGCAACCACATCCTGTAAAATGATCCCCACTGCTACAGAAACTTCAAGCCACTAGCTTGAAATCTCCCTATACTCCACTGGGGAACATGAAGGGAAAAAAAAGTTGTATCCATGTAAACTAATCTATATAATAAATGAGATTGTACAGATGCTTTTGAGAATGAAATCGTCGAAAAGATCGTCATCTTTGCTGAACTTCTTGTTCTTTTTCACTGAATAATAACAAACAACAAGAAAAAAAATTAAAAAAAAACTTACAATCAGGAGGACCAGGAAGTTGTTTAGCAAGTTCTTCGAATTGTAAATTCTCTTCAGCTAATGCAGCTGAAAGTTCATTAGGCATAGGTTGTTCACAAGAATTTCCACTGATTATAGAGATAACATCATCTTGATCAGTTGATTCCTCTTTAACATCTATACAACCATGTGAAGATGATTCATCGCCAATATCATTATCATCAACATCATCAGCATTATGATTATGAGGATTATCTTTATATCGATTTTTCCCTTTCCCCGTATCATTACGATGCTTTGATGATGATGAGGAGGAGGAGGATGAGAGACGAGGTTTTTTCACTGTAGAAACACTTGTTGCTATAGATGCTGCTAATGCAGCTGTTCTTTTTGGTTTTCTTGATCCTCCACTAGTACTACCAACACCCCCACCATGAGTACTATCGATAGAAGAATGTGTACCAGTAGGTGATCCACCGCTAGGAGTCAATAAATGATTACATGAATTCATAGTCATAATATCCTTTAAATGATTCGATTTATTATACGATGTCATTCGAGAATAGGGCAATTGTCGATCTGTTGAATTTTTCGATTGAATAGTTGATGAACTTGATGAAGAATGTCGATAGGCATCATTATCACTACAATCACCGCCACCGCCACTGCCAGCAGGAGCACCAGTACCACCTTCAACACTACGTAAACTAGAACTACTTCTACTCCGACTACCACCTGTAGTAGTACTAGTACTGCTATTACTTCCTGAACTAGTACTTCGTTGAGCATGTGCCGTAACCATCATCATTAAATTCCCGTTGACAGCAGCCAGTCGTCGTTTCTTTGATGTATCATTACGCAATGATGTATGCGATAGACTAGAATTATTATTATTATTATTTACACTAGGACTATTATGCTTTCTTGATCGTCTTTCAGCTGGTCTCCTCGTCTTGAAAAGTTTTTCTTTATCAGATGACCATGATCATGATCACCATCATTATATTCCGGTTGAAGAGTATTCAGCTTTACATTCAAATGTGATTCATCATCCTCATCCTCATCATCTTCACCATCATCATCCCCGTCATCGACGTCATCCACATGATCAGCACTGGCAGTGGCAGCACCATCATCCTCACATAATGGTAATTGTTTAGATCGACGTGAAATTTTCGGAGCAGATTTTTTGCAATTATTCAATGCGGATTTTGTTGTTGTTGTTGGCGTAATTTTTGTTGGTTTACTACATTCATCATTTCGTAAGCCTAAAATTCCTCCAGTTGTACATATTTAGAACGTTTCTTTTGTTTAAATTTTCTTTCAGAACAGTCGATTTTCTCTACCTGTAAAGTATTTTGTGAATAATTATTCGATTAGGATAAGTGCATAAAAAGACTGCTAATAATATACAACAAAAACAGATACTGGAATTTCTACAAAAGACTATTGGGTATATATATATATCCATTTAGGTGTATGTCCTGATTAAAGACAAAGATACTGAAGTGAGTATTTAATCGGTGGATGGTGACTAGCAGTGGAATCCAGGATAAGGCACATTTCGTCCTATTTGGGACTCGCCCGCCAGCTGGATGTACTTGCATTCCCCAGTGAGTGAGTGAGTGATGATGTTCCCACCACGGAGGGTTGAACCCAGTACCCATAGTTTCAAACACCAGCCAAAGCGTTATCCACTATACCACTTGAGCCACTAGAGCTGGCCACCTCTTGTGCAACGGGTCATGCAGCTGACCACGAGTCCCAAATGGGACGAAATGCGCGTTATCCTGGCTGGATTCCACTGCTAATCACCATCCATGAATTGAATACTAACTAAATGCCCAGACATCGTCGAAGTATCAGCACAAGAAGCCAACAGACATGTCAACTTGAGACCGAGCACTTCGGTTCAATCAATCGACGGGAAAATCTCAAATTCAATAAAATGATACTGAAGAATATGCTTGCTGAAGTATGCAGATTGGTCACACCTAACTACACGAAGACAAAGCAGTCTATCTGGCATTTATTCAGGAACGTAAACTTGGTACGATATAAGCACTAAGAGATGAGCCACACAACAATATATGTAAAGAATATAGGATAAGAATCAATGAGGAACATCATCTAGAAAGCGAGAAAGCATATTTGTCAGCATCATTCAACATTCATTACTTCTTAAATAATACTTTCAGATGAGAGAAGAAAGATGGAACAAGGTAGCATGTTTGCCATGGATTATGATTCCAGTCACCAATTTGAGCTACACCTCTCGGAATCCAACCAGGGAGAGTTGTGATGTATCAACTGATGCTAAGCTAACATCTTGTGGATACAGAACACAAGATTGACGTTAACCATGCTTTCAGGGTCATTTATACTGCAAACCTACGAATCTCAATTTTCCCTTAAGAGTTCGACTACTAAATATTGCCGAGGCTGGCTGTTGGGATCCATATTAAGAAGCCTAATTTATGCATCCAAAAAGAAGTTAGTTCAGGCGTTATCATTACCTTGGCCATCTAGGTTTGAATGATCCTCAACCTTTTGTAGAAATCTCCCTAATTTTAGTTGATATTCTATTCGCTATTACATCTTTGTTATTATTATAATTTAGGCATCTTTAATGAACTGTAATTCCATTGTGATCTTACTTAACAAATTGATATTATTTAAAATAAACACTAATATTGTTATTGACTACTAATCTAGAATATTCTGTGTATATAAACATATATATATATAATTGTAGAGCCATCCTGGAGAGAACCAAACAAGCCAACCTGGATGGATGGAAAACTTCGACCGGAACAGGCTGGATTCAGGAGGAACAAGTCCTGTATTGATCAAATCGCCACACTACGGATCATCATTAAACAAAGCTTGGAATGGCAGTTACCTCTCTATCTCAACTTTATCCACTTTGAAAAGGCCTTCAATAGTGCAGCGTCGATCGAGAGGTGATTTGGGAAATACTTCGCTACTACTGTAGGGTTCCGCCGACAATTATACATCTCATCCAACAGTTGTACGACAATGCTCCATGCCAAGTAATCCACAACGGGGAAATTTACGGAATCCTTCGAAGAAGTGAAGACGGGAGTAAGACAAGACTGGCTCGCTGGCTGCCTACTATCGCCAATGATTTTCCTGATTGCAGTAGATTGCATAATGCGACAGACAGTGGCCGGGCAGCGAAGAAACAGCCATAAAATAGACTCACACAAAAAACAACTTGGAGGATCTGGACTTCGCCGATGTCATATATATGTCTGATTTACCACAAACTGCAAGATATCCAAGTGAAAAGCGCCAAGTTGGCAGAACAAGCATCCAGAGAAGTCAGGACTTCCTTCAGGTGAACATAGAGAAAACATAGGTGGGTGATGAAGATTCGTGGCCAACACCACCACCACCAACAACAACAACAACAACAGACAACAATCAGCCAGCATAAATGGGAGGAGTCTGAAAGAAACAACCTCCTTCACCTACCAACCAACCAACCAACCAACCTACCTACCTACCTACCCACTTGGGAAGCATCGTCGTGTCGACTACAGGCGGACAGAACTGACGAGGACATCAAAGCAGCGAGGATCAACGGGAAAGCAAGACAAGCTTTCATTTCCCTCAAATCTGTATGGAGGAGAACAATAATACTACTCACCATGAAAATGAAAATAACATCCGGATTTTCAACTCCAATGTGAAGAAGTCAGTCAGTCAGTCAGTGATACTCACTATACGATGGATCAGAGACTTGGCCAGCACCGCGTCATCAACAGCACCTCAAACAAACTACACACCTTCATCAACAGCTACCTGTCATCGCCAATACCACTCAAGATCAGATGGCCAACCAGAAAAGATCACCAACAGGCTGGGTGGGATTTCTGGCAATGAGGGAAGCAACCAACACAGAAGGAACCGATTGTGCAACAAGTAAGCAGGAAGAAATGGAGGTGGATTGGCTGGCCATACTCTGAGAAAACACGCCATCAAGTGAGTGACATCAATAGAGAAGGCATTTCTCGAGTGGAAGCCGAAAGGGAATCGGCGAGTTGGTCGTCAGTGCAACGGTGACTTGGAGGAGGTCGTGTGAAGAGGAGATGAAAGCGTGTGGGCAGACTTGGAGCGGGGTGAAAAAAATTGGCAGAGAATCGAACGCAATGGAGACGTGCAGCTGAATCCCTATGTTCTTCTAGGAATTAAAGGATATAATACTAATATAATAATTGTAGAGCCAGAGGAGAAGGAATTTATCAATCAAGGAATAATCAAACTTACATTTCTTTTGTTGTTAACCGATTTTCAGATAAATAATGATTTGCTTTCATATCCTCTGAATACGATATTGGTCTACTCTGAACTTTAGCACTCTCCATTGTTAACTCGATCTTAGTAGATGAACTACACATATTCTTCACCTCGGATGGTTGTTTCATATCAATATCACGATCAGCTTCATATCGTTGAATCAGACGCTTTTTCAATGGCATTGAAGTATTATTATTATTATTATTTTGAGTTTTTTGATCTAACGAATTATTATCATTGATTTTATTCTTTATTATAGAATCTTGTTTCATAATCTGTATCGGTGGCGTTGATGGTAATAATCCACCTGAAGAGCTGTAAGCTGTAGTCGACTGTCTTTTATTATTATTATTTAGCTCCGATGATTGATGAGTGGACCGTTTACCTGACCAATTGATGCTCGATCGATCATCAACTTCTACTTTACAACTACTACTGGATCCTGCTATTTCAATGACATTATTTGTAGAAGTTGTTGTTGAATTTGTATTCATTATAGGAAAAAAGGAATTCAAAGATTGAGGAGAGCAAGCAGTATTAGTGGTGGTGGTAGTAGTAGTAGTAGTAATTGGAGAATTTTCTTCAGAATATGTTATAACAATTTGAGACTGTGTAATAGTAGAACTGGGAATTTTATGTCCTCCAATAACTGGAGATGGAGGAGGTTTGATTGTCTGACAGCAAGATGATAACGACGATGATAACGAGGAGGTGGATGACACAGACACAGGCGATGATGATGATGTTTGAAGATGAGGATTAAGTCCTTTAAAATTAAAAGTCATTGGAACATTAGGACTACATTGGCCAGATATTGAAGTTTTATGCATAGATTCAGATGGAAGAAATGATGAGCCAGATGATAATGGAGATGAACTAGACGTACTGCTGCTATATTTTCTTTCAACTGTTTTTGTAGCCAGCTGATTCACAACAGAAAATGGGGATGATTCAGGTGTACTGGATAATGAAGAGACTGCTTGACAGGCGGCTGTCGATGAAAATGAACTTGATGAGGAGGAGGATGATCGAATACGATTTGCCTTACTCATCATTGGCATATTATTGTTATTATTATTATTATTATTTTGACTCATTGTACACGATGGCCAATCAACACTTAGTGAAGCGAGTTTAGCATCGTGTAAGATAGCAAGTCGTGAATCAGCTAATTCAACTGTCTGTTGATGATGATGATGATGATCACGATCACGTGGATTCGGTTGAAGTTTATTTGGATGAGAAGAGTCTGTTGGATAAGTTCTTTGATCGGTACTAGCACCGGAGCCACCGGGGCCAGCACTCGCACTCCCACTTCCAGTACCAGTACCCGTACCACTAGCTGTTATCCATGGTGGACAACAAATATGCTGTTCAGATTTATGCATTTCATTGACAGGAGTTGAGGAACGTGAATTCAAACGATTTGTTGACTCCATCGATCTAGGTAAAGAAGGACTAGTTTTCATATTAGAATATCTTAAATCAGACATTGTTCCTATGGAAACTGAAGGGACAGTTTTAGGATTGACAAATGATGATGATGATGATGAAATATCACTGACTCTTCGAGTTTTAGCCTCTGTTGTCATACTAAAATAAGTATTAAAGAAAAAAGCATGATAATATTATTAATAATAATAAGTTTTGATTGTTACAGTCTTCAATTATTATGAATAAAAAAGATACATTTTACAGATATGATGAAATATATATGACCGAGTACTGAATCCTCAGGAAAACCGACACTCACATATCAACAAAAATGTCAATACTTATAAAAAGAACGAGTTGTTAGTTGTCAAGGTGAAAGTATGAAAAAAAAGGTTAGCTGTCTTTGATCATAGGTGCCCGCGTTCTATCTCCCGTGTGAAGTGGTAGGTGTAATAGGGTGAGCAATATTGAGTTTAGCCGTCAGTCGAGTGGTAGGTAGTTGGAAGGGGAAATCAATCAATCGACGAGGTTGCGAAGCAGCTGCATCAACTGAGATGGTTAGGACATGTGTTACGTATGCCTAGTCATCCATTGCCTACCTCGACTACGGGCATAGGGACAAGCTGGAAAAGAGCAACCTGATGGCGGTCAAACCAAAACCAACATGGCTCCATCAGTCAATGAAATCCACAACAGTTAGTTTAAGCCAGCCAGCCAGCCACGTAGGAAGGTGTAAACTTCCTAACTGGTTGGTTGGGGTCCTCGAGACGGTAAATGCCAATGACGGGCTGGAAACAATTGGTGATATGACTCGAAATCGTTGTCAATGGCTGACGTAGATGCATCCACTTCCTGTGGCTTATGATTTCAAATGAAACTATATTGTTCTTCGTTATTACTATTCCTTTGTTACACACCTCTGTTCACTGTCTCTATCATTATGCATTTCTTCTACTTTCTTTTCTTACTTTGTGTGCTACAAAGAGGGTGTGTGGCGACTTGAATTGGTGCACATCAGTGCAAAGTTCTATGTTGAAAACAGACAGGCAGATGAAAAAAAGGTGGTTATTTTTCTCTGTAATTCACAAGACTTATTGTTCCCATTTCGACTACAAACTGACAATCTAATAAAGAACCGTTGAAAAACCAACAGCGAGTACTGAAGCAACATATCCTTCGGCCTACCTTAGAGGACTCTCCAATAGTGTACGCAATATTCACCCCTAGCCGTCAATGATAGAATCCAGGACCTTCAGATTTTACAAAGGGAACCCATTGATGCAATTCAATTCAAAATTCTATCAGTTGGTGATATATATATATATATATATATATATATATATATATATATATAACGCGATCGCCACCAGTCAATTTCATCATTCTGGCTGATTTCTTTCTAAGTAAGCTAGAAAATGAAGCTTTGAACAACCTTATCAGTAAGCTCTCATTTTATTGCCGATATATGGATAATACCTTCATTCTTTGTAATAATGGTTCTGATTGGAGTACGATAATTACTGAATTCAATGAAGTACATTCGGCAGCTATGAAATTCACATGCGAAGAGGAATCCCAAGACAGAACTAACTGCCTTCCTGGATGTCCTACTTACAAGAAAACCAGATGGTAGCATAAAAAGGAATTTGCATAGAAGAAGTACTTGGAGAGGACAATATACACATTTTCACAGCTTCGCTCCTGTCAAGTACAAAGGAAATTTAGTAAGGAAGGACCCTCAGCCACAGAGTTAGAGCTATATGCTCAGAAGAAGTGATTCAAGATGAATTAAGCATTGTATATGATACTGTGATCGAAAATAGCTATCCCGAAAAATTTATCAAGAAACACATGACAAAAAAAGCGGCGGAAAAGGACTACTCACTACCTGTTAACAAGAAGCCACTTTATATTTACGACTACAATTCAAGGGCGATATACCAAGTGAAATAATTACGAAGAAAATAAGAAAATCAGTCCAAAAAACTTTTAATGCTGATGAACTACACATCTCATTCTCTACACGACCAATGATGATTCTTCGACTGAAAGATGAAGTACCTAGACTAGCCACTTCTAATTGTATCTACCAATTCAACTGCGCTTGTGGGGCGAGTTATATTGACCATTGCTGTAGGAACTTGATTTTTCGTGCCCACTCAAGAAAATCTCCCACTATGGCTAAGTAAATGTGTAGTTAAAACCACTAACAGTTTGATATCAGACCATCTGGTGCAAACCGGCCTGCCACAAAGCCAGTCAGCGTGGAAGAATCCTTCTCTAAAATCTACCGGGTGCCTAATAAATTGCCAAAATCATCGAATCCCCGCATGCTCCAAACAGCAGAAGCTGTTGCGATTCGCCTCAAACAACCAGTGATCTGTGTTCAAAACAAGCAAGTCCAGCTAGCCAGCCACTAGTACTGTCCTGGCTGGCCTTCAGTAGAGACTATAAATTCATGAATTTGTAATATGATCTTTCCTAATTTTTCTGACATTCAGCTTATTTTATGTTGATGCTATTGAGCTGTAATCTATCAATATTATTGATTCGATGTTATTCAAACAGCAACATTAATGTTGTTCATAACACTAATTCATTCATTCACTATAATGTGTATATACAACTGTAGAGTCTGATGATGAAGGGGTTATCAAAAAGAGTACTCTTTGTTCAGTTTGAAGCAACTTTATTATTCTGGAATCAGTCACTAAAGAAGTGTTAGATTAACTTTTCAAGTGAAACTTTAATCAACTCCCTAGAAACACACAACGGTTATGTGTTATTGTCCTGCTTGAGAAGTAAGGCATCTTATCTAACTTCAAGACGAGGTAAAAACCGACACAACTAGAGCGCTAAAAACTATTATAATATTTAATTGAAAGGTGTTAGCATAAATAAATAATAATTTTATGAGTTGATCACGGATTGATATCAGTTAGAGAACCATTGAAAACCAGGAAGTACTGGACAGCTGCTGTTTCATCCTAGTTTGGGAATCATCGGCAGTACGCACCCACACACACACCAGGGTTCGAACCCTTCCGGTTACAAGGAAAGCTCGTATACCATTCATCCACTAGGACCCGATACAATGGCTCATGAATTCTAACTCCTACCAATCTGATGCTCGCTAGTGACTACTGGCTACAGGATGGAGTTTCCTGGGGGTCCTGAAGTCCAATTAGATGACACGTGTGAGGATGGATGTCCCACCTACGACAATGGTTGGGATCGCGTTAAATCACGAATTGGTAGAAGTTAGAATTCATGGGCTGACCAGTGAGTCGGATTGGGTCCCAGTGGCTGAATGGTATACAAGCCAGCGAGCCTTGTAACCGGAAGATTGTGGGTTCGAACCCTGGTGTGTGGGTGCGTATTGCCGATGATTCCAAAACTAGGATGGAGGAAATAGCTGTCCAGTACTCCCTGTGGCTGGTTTTCAATGGTCCTCTAACTGTGATATCAATCCGTGATCAACTTGTAAAAACATAACTAACCCTTACAAACCAAATTATAGAAAATAATAATTTCAAAAGCCTCTTGGCAAACAATTTTCAGCCATCTAAAGTTTTTAATACATACATATGTATTAGGCAATAATTAAAAAGCCTTTCAACAGCACAACATTGTTAAACAAACTTCTCTTTATATTAAGTACAGTTGTGCGATTACCTGAAGAATATATATATGTGACTAGTAAAAAATCAATATAACGTGGCTCTCTCTCCCTGTGTGTGGTGTGTATGTATGTGTGAACTGTTTAACAGACATTACTTGAATGCATTTGAATGAATACAATAACAGCTCTCACTCACTCTCTCTTTCACACACACACACACTTACACAACACAGTATATACTACCTACCTTAGTATTTACATTCTTAAGTGAATAATCATGTGATATGCAGCAGCAATCAAAAAAACAAACAAACACACACAACATAAGATGACAATAATGATGAGTATAAAAACGACTATACAGAAATAACCACAATTAAAAAAAAGATTAAACTATTTCCAATTGTATCATATAATACCTTTTTTAAGGTATGATATTGATCTGAAATTATTGATTGATTCAATGCTTCATTAATCTTTCTAACTGATATATGTAGGTTCGTGACAAAAAAAACGAAGAACAACTAACAACTGAAATTCATTCAATTGCCAGTTCACAATGCTGGCTATTGGGTGAATTTCCTGAAGCTGCTACTACAGTGGGAAGTTATGAAGTGGTGTGAAGTCCACCAAGTCAAGAGATGAACTGGATGCTCGAAGGCATTGGCCAGTGGTGGTGGTGGTGGTGGCTAGCTCTATTACACACGAGTTGAGAATGTCAGAATCCAGGGGTAATTGAAATCTAACCGAAGTGGTTGAAGAGTTCAAAAACAGGACGAAACAGCTGTCCAGTACTCCCTGGTATTCACATTCAGTGACCCATACGACTAATGATGGTTTTATTGACGAAATAATAAATCAAACAATCGAAATTCATTGAAAATCCTTCACAAATCCTACGTTATCTGAATTCTTCATGAATATTGACTTATATTTGTACAAAGAGGGGAGGAGAGAGGTGAGGTAACAACTGATATGTGATAAAATTGTGGTGAGAGCTGGCTGTTAGTCAAAATTGGTGGACAGTAATTTACGTCAATGTTTATGTCCCCAATATTGGTCGTGAGAAAAATGAGAACAAAGGCTTTGTGTAGGCGGATGCAGTTAACATATAGATGATCTGACAGTCACAAAGAGATGCGAGGTTAACTTTCAGTGAGAAACAACCACTAATCAGAAGACTGTGTTTCTCTGCTAACAATAATCTATAATAATGTACATGAAAATCTATAAATATGTGTTGATTTCCTTAAAAAATGATCTGTTTCCTGGCCCTTGTCTTCTGCTGTTACAAAGCTTTTAATATGGTTATTATATTCATGATAATTATCGCTAGGGTGAATAATCAACTTCATAAAGGTGTTCTGGTTATTTCAAAACAGGTTAAAGAGCATGAACAGATAATGCGAGACCTTTGCTATTCATTTGATAGCTGACTAACTGACTGACTGACTGACTGACTGACTGATTTCAACCTGTGAACTTTGCACAGAAGTTCAACAGTTCCAGTCGCCACATTCCATGTACCACACAAAAG